GCTTAAGATTCCCTCTCCCCCTCTGTCCCTCCCTCTGCTCCCCTGCATGCTCGTTCTCTCACTCTCTAAAATAAATGAATAAATCTCTTTAAAAAAAAAAAAGGTATTCTAAGGCGAAGGGTTACAAGAGATATTCTGAATGAATTGTTAAGATTCAGTGACTGAACCAATCTAAAAAAGAAATTATCAGCCATATGACATACAAAATGTACACTGTTTAATTCTTCCAGTGTCTTTATTGAATTAACAGCCACTTTTAGTATCTGCATTTTTATTTTCTTATTTATTTTAGAGCAAGTGTGGTGTGTGCCCGCTGGGGGAGGGGCAAAGGCAGAGGGAAAGAATACCAAGCAGACTCCACACTGAGCCTGGAGCCCAACATGGGGCTCAATCTCACGACCCTGAAATCATGACCTGAGATGAAACCAAAAGCCGGATGCCTAACCAACCGAGCCACCCAGGCGCCCAGCATTGTCTGTAAGTTGAGATATAAGTGACATGTAGCACTATATTAGTTTCTGGTGTACAACATAATGTTCCCTAGGTGTATATTGCAAAATGATCACAATTAAGTCTAATTAATATCCATCACCATACATAATTACAATTTTTTCTGATGATGAAAACTTAAAAGATCTACTGTTAGCAACTTTCAAATATATAGTAATTATTAACTACAGTCGCCATGCTGCACATTACTCCCCCAAACCATGACTTAAAATTACATGTTTATACCTTTTGAGCACCTTTACCCATTTTGTCCACACACCCAGCCCCACCCCAACCCCACAACCCCGGCCTGGTGTCTGCATATTTAAAGATAATGATAAAAATTAGATAAGATCAAAAAGTACCAACCAAACTTCCTGAAAGGAATGAATAAAAAAAATTTTCTGTTAATAAGACCTATTTGTAAAGCTGTTCTCAACCCTACTAGCTTAGGTTATTTTGACTAGTAATAGTAATAAGTAACAGATGGATAACTTACACTGTTTACATGCAGTTTTTAAGTAGAAGTTCAGAGCACTAGCTCCACGAAGAACCTTCTAAGGGGAAACGAGTTGAGAGGCAGGAGCAGACAGCAAACAGTTCACCTTACACTTAACTGAGAAGTGGTACACTGAAACACACCACCATCACAGCCAGGACCTTCACACCCGGACACAGTCAAGGCCTTGAGAGCGAAGGTGGAATGCACAAACCCCTCAGGAAGTAGGATACGAGACTAGAGGACTTCCTAAAGTCCTCTGTACCTCCTAGACTCAGTCTTCTCTCAATCCTGGGAAAGAAAGAGCAGCAACAGCCATCAGGCCCCTTACCTGTTCAGGCTCACAGCCCTTTTCAACCAAGTCACAGAAAGAAAAGTTGAGAAGGAGCCTCAACTCCAATTCTTTCTGGAGTTCATTCTTCCTGAACATTTTCTCACTTTAACAGTCTTTCTGGGGGTGCTTGGGTGATTCAGTCAGTTAAGCATCCAACTCTTGATTTTGGCTCAGGTCATATCTCAAGAGTCGTGAGACTGAGCCACATGTCAAACTCTGCACTGAGTGTGGAGCCTTCTTGAGGTATTCTCTCTCTCTCTCTCTCCCTGTCCCACTGCCCCTCCCGGCAACTCCCTCTCTCCAAAAACAAAAAAGTCTTCCTGTTGATTTGGGAGTACCTCGATCACCCCCAGGACAGAGACTTCTCAATGGGAGCACAGGAGCGATCACTGCCCCAGACTGTCCTATGACTTCAAGAAGCTGCTGAGCATTACATACACTCTGATTACAAGTATACAGTACTTAAAAAACATAAATACAAGGAGACCAAAACTAAATACAGAAAGACTTTACACATTGCTTTAATGCTTAATCACTTTTAAAGGTCTCATTTTACCAAAACCTACACTGCAAGCACACAGGTACTTCTCATGTTGGTCAAAGTCACTGAAAAGGAAAACAGAGTGGTGCTCTCTATCCCTAACCATTCCCATTACCTAAAGTGAAAGACAACACACTGAATTTGTAGCAATAAAGGAAGCCAACTCAAGGAATCAAGTGTCAGCAAAATGTCCCGAAACACGCTATGGTAGGCAGAACAACAGCCCCGAAGATGTCCATATCCTCATCTCTGGAACCCGTGATTGTTAGCTTACCTGGCAGAGGGGATTTTGCAGCTATAATTAAGTTAAGAACCTTAGGATGGGGGAAATTCTCCTAAATTATCCAGGTGGGCCTGATCTAATCACACGGGTCCTTAACCTTTCCCAGTTGTGATCAGAGACCTACTACAGAATGGACGGAGAGATGCAATATTGCTGGCTTGGAAGAGGGAGCACGAGGGAGGCGAGGCAAGGAATACCGGTGGCCTCTAGAAGCTGGAAGAAACAAGAATACAGATTCTCCCCTAGAAACCTCCAGAAAAGAACACAGCGTTGCAGACACACTGATTTTAGCTGAGTAAGACCCATTTTGAACTTCAAAATACAGAACTTAAAAATAATGTGTGTTGTTTTAAGACACTAAATTTGTGGTAACCTATTACAATAAGCATAGAAAACTAATATATGCATGGGGCCTGGGTGGCTCAGTCAGTCAAGTGTCATAACTTCAGGGTCCTGGAATCAAGCCCTACTTAGGGCTCTGTGCTCAGAGCCAAGTCCATTTGTCCCTTTCACTCCCCCTTTGTCCTTCCTCCCCCTACCTCATGCCCTCTCTAAAATAAATAAAATCTTTATTAAAAAAAAAAAGAAAGAAAACTAATACATAGTAAACTTCTAACAATATGTGAAAGTATCTAAAAAAGTGTAATCAAATTGCCCAAATATTCAGAGCAATGAGACATACGTTATTAGTACATGTGTATTTCACTTTTTAAAATTTGCACTTTAAAATTTACTTCTATTTTTCTCCTGCTCTCCTGCTGCTCCGGCTCTCATGAAAACTCCATCAGTTAAAATGCCAGCCAAAGTGACAATTCTTTGAACTTTCTGTAGAAGGATGAACCATATCAACCAAAAAAATAAGAGAATAACAGGAAAAAAATCAGGAAACAATTATACCATGTTTTTTAGAGAGTCAACATCAAAGTGTTTGCACTATGTAATTCCCTTCTACCAAATGGATGTACATTTTAAAAAATAAGTCCTTCTAGGGACGTGTGGGTGGCTAGTGGGTTGAGCCTCTGCCTTCAATCGGGTCATGATCTCAGGGTCCTGGGATCGAGCCGCCTCCCACTCTCTGCTCCTCCCACTCTCTGCTCGGCAGGGAGCCTGCTCCCCGCCCCCCCGCCCCCGCTTCCCTCTCTGCCAACTTGTGATCTCTGTCAAATAAATAAATAAAATATTTTTTAAAATAAATAAAAAATAAGTCCTTCTAAATATTGATATTAAGAGCTTACTATTAATTTTTCTAGATGTGATAATGGTAATGTGGACATATTAAGAAGAGAGTGACTCAACCTTCTACAGATATACACTCAAATATTTACAAATGAAATGGTATGCCTATGACCTGCTTTAAAATAGCCGGGAGTGGGGATAGGAATGGATAAGGGAGATGAAAGTAAATGAGCCTGAATTACTAATCACTGAAGCTGGGTAATGGGTACATGAGCGATATTAAATTATTTCAATGTTTAAGCTTTTCTGTATTTAAAAGTTACATAAACAAAGTCCTTGGACTCTCTCATAATAATACAGACTCAATATATTTAACAGTTGAATCTCCTTCTTGTGACATTGCCCCCCTCAACTCTCTGCCACTCAAGCCACCTGCAATTTATAGTTCAATCGATTATTTTTTAAAATCAATTATTCTTAAATCCCCAACTCATTTTACCCTATTAACCTTAAGAGTTTCACCAAATCACTTAACCTCTAAGAGCCTGTTCTTCATCTACAGAATGGCAATATTTATACCTGGCCACTCTGAGATGCCAAGAGATAATCTAAGATAAAAATTACAAAAAAGAATAATCATTCTAGAAATCTATATTCACAAATTTCATGCTCAGCAGCAACCATTCCCCTACTCCTATAGATCTCTTCCCTCCACCTCCAGTTTCCTTCTGGCGCCCTCCACCATCAGACCAAAGGCCTGGGTTCCTCTTTAAGATAACACTCCCCTCCACGGAGTCCATCCCCCATGTTTTCACAACAGCTTCTCCCTACACGCCTCTCCCTCCAACCTCCCGTCTCCCCTTCAGGGGTCCCACTCCATCTACACTCCTAGTCCGTTCATTTTGTGTACCCCATTGCCGGCCCTATCACAATCACCCCAACATTCCTCTACCCCAGTTCAGTACTTTCTGCTATCAGCTTTATCACCCACTACTGCCACCAGCTCTCAAACACCTGGGCTAACTTCCCACCCTTTCGGTTAAAACACAACTGCAAGGTGTCAGGAAGTGGGAATGGGGGAAATAAAGAGAGACTGTTAATGAATACGAGTTTCTTTTTGCGCGATAAAAATGTTGTGGAATTAGTTGCACAACCCTGAGAATATGCTAAAAACCACGGAGTTATACTTTTAATTGTACTTTTAAAGGGTGAGTTTTATGGTATGTGAACTACTTCTCCAGAACAATGTATATACCTCAAGAAAGAAAAGGAAAGAAAGAGCAACACTATTGCTCACCCTGCCCATTACACGCCCATGTGTCAGATCCACATCGCCCCATCTCCCGAAGCCCCTATCTACCTGCTCTTCAGTATCCCCCCAACTCTTAACACTAGACTCGGACAGAGGTCCCTCTCATTCTTGACTAACACACTCCCTCATCCTTTAAGTGCCACTGTGCCCTGAAAGGGGGTGGGGGGAAGATGCGGGCGGCTCTCGGGGCCCAGGCACAACCCCTCTACGGTGGCCCAGTCCCCCACTGTCAGGAAAGGACCCTCTCCCCCGTGCCAGCGGAGCTGTCCCGACGACGGGATGCGTCCGCGAACCCGCTCGGACAAGGGGCTGGGGGCCCCGCCAGGCTTCTAGGGCCGCTCCGCTGGGGGCGGCGCCACAGCCCACCTGTCTCAGCCGCAGGGCAGATCCGCTTCCAGCTCCACCGACACACGAGTTTGGTGGCAAGGGGGGATCGGAAGAAGCCGCCGCCGCCGCCGCAGCCAGGGTGGCGCACGCCGGCTCAGGCCTTCATGATTCCACGTCTCTGCGGCTCCGGCTTCAGCTCCGGCTCGACTCCCGCTCGGCTCCCGCCCCGGCCGCGTCCGTGCGGAGGCCGGGAGGCGGGGAGAGAAGAGGGAAGCGGCAGAGAACGCCGCTGGGGACCGAACGGCCGAGCGCGCTCCGGCGGACGATCACGTGGCGCGCGGCGCGCAGACTTCTGGGAAGTGTAGTCCTTCAGACGTTGGACGTTCCTCCACCCTTCCAGCGCATCCAGGGCAACGGCAAAGCCACGTGGCAAATTCGAGAAGCGGCTAATCCCTATTACAGATCGCTGGATCGCAAACACCACACCAATGGTGTGACTTAGCTTTGTTAAGGCCCCTGTTTTTTCCAACTCGGATAACCATCCCAAAGTCAGCAGTTCCGTGTAGGGCTCTGAAGAGTTGGAAAGAGGAAAATAATTTATCTTGGGGGTATTATTATTTTTTATCTCTATCTTTATTCTTTGCAAACCCTTGTGTCCAGAGCTGACTTCCAGAAAATAATTTTTAATGAAGGCAGGTAGTAGGTCTATAACTAACTGCACCATTTACGGAAAGGGCAGATCCCATAGGAAAGAGTGTCGATACTGTGCAGTTCCCAAAAAATGAAATTAGAAGTGAAATGAGCCTGTTACCAGACTGGCATACGTCCTTGAGTTTTTCCCATCAGTTTCCTCTTCTTAAATAAATGCAAGATGATGATAATTCTTCTCATATAGGACTATTGCCGAATCAGTAACAGTAATTAACAAGTCCCATTATGGGTTGTTTTCTATGTGCAGTACACTGTTGTTTCTCCAAATAACACTGAGATAGATAACACTATTCTGTTTTACAATCAGTGTGTCAAATGCACTCTGAGAAGTACCATACATATCTTCTATGTACTTTTCTGGCATCTGTTGCCAATATATTCCCCGAGCTTACAGATTATTTCAGGAAAACACACTAAAACACAAAGTACCTGAGAGCCTAGCTAAGAAGAGGTGGGCACTACTATGCAGCCATTGTAAAGGATACTAGGGATACACGCTCATGTTATATCCAGCGGAAACAGTATGTATAATATCCAATTTTCATAAATGAATTATATTTATGTTTATTATATACGTATATACACACACAGTGGGGGGAAAGGCTAAAAGAATATTAACAATTATAAACTTTGAGGAATGAGATCTCATGTAATTAAATTCCATTTTTCCCTGTTTCCTATTTTTCCTGCAATGAATATGTGTTACATCTATAGTTTTATAATTTTTATTTTTAAATTTTAGCAAAAAGAGAGGCCCCCAAACCAAACTCAAAGTACTTAATATTTTTGCCTGTACCAAGAATTACACCCTCTAGCTACCCCAAAATGATCTAGAAATAAATGTGAACCTCTCTTCAGAACTAGCATTATAGACCAAGAAGCAACTCATCCTAATTTAAGGCAAACTTGTTATTAAAATTTAATGTCCCCTCTTTTTAATATTTTTTGGAGAACTTGAAATAAAAACAGTCTTACCAGTGTTCCTTAGTAAATGTTAAAATACTGCTAGGCAATCATCATAAATCAGAGTGTTAAATTAGGAACGGTTTTCCCAATATATGAACCATAAATTGGAGTAGCAATCTTTCACAAACCTTTTATTGTACATGTAATGTGCTAAGTATTATCTTTTGTCACCATCTCTCAACACTGTCAGAACCACTGTCATGATAACTTTGACCAACTCGATTACATCAGCGTCAGGTTAGTGCAGAAACACTAGCAGGAAAGTCATGAAAACCTACTAAATGCAACTGGGTGTCCTGGTTGGATCCTAGAACCAAAAAAAGGCAATAGTGGGAAAACTTATGAAATCCAAATGAAGTCTGGAGTTTAGTTAAGGGTATTGTACCAATGTTAATTTCCTAATTTTGACAAATGTGTTACTGTTATTATGTAAGATACTAACATTAAAAGAAACTGGGTGAAGGATGTATAGGAACTCTGTGCTTTACAATTCTTCTGTAAATCTAAAATTATTGCATGTGCTAGGCAGAGTAATGGTCTCCCTGAAGACATCCACATCTTAATCCCCAAAACCTATCAGTTTCTTTGGTTACATAGCAAAGGGTTAAGATAACAGTAGTTTGCTAATCAGATGACTTTCAAAGAGGGAGACTATCCAGCATTATCAGGGTGGGCCTAATGTAATCACAAAAGTGAAAAGTGAGAGGAAGTCAAGAGAGATAAATATGGCTCTGCAGCTGTATAAGTCTCTGCCCTCAACGAGGAGTCTGCTTGAGATTCTCTCTCTCCCTCTCCCTCTGTCCCTCCCCCATTACTGCTCATGTACTCTCACTCTCTCTAAAATAAATAAATACATCTTTAAAATAAATAAATATGGCTCTGTAAGAAGATGAAGTGATGCAGTGTGAGGACGAGACATTGCTGACTTTGAAGATGGCAAGACACTGGGAACATATGCAGTGGCCTCTAGAAGCTGAAAAAGACCAGGAAACAGATTATATCCCCTAGAGCCTCCAGAAGGGAACCCAGTCTTACCAATACCTTGATTTTAGCTCAGTGAGAATTGTGTCAGACTTCTGACCTCCAGAACTATGAAATTATAAATGTGTGTGGTGTTAAGCCACTAAATCCATAGTAACTTATTATAGCAGCAAATGCAAAATGAATACATTCAAAAATATGAAGTTTAATTAAGAAACAAAACTTCCAAATGGCTGTTTCTTTTCCCAACACATTTTCAATCTCAGACTGTACCAGTATTCATCCTACTTAGAAAGTAACTGTAAAGCAGAAAATGTACAAAGAAAAGATACTTTGCTTTGGAAGGCATATATATTTTGCAGCAGCAGACCTATACCTTGCCAGCACATTTTGGTTAGACTATTATGAAAATCAACTATACCCAGAAATATGTTGGGTTCCCCAGGAAAGCCAGTCAGGCAGTGAAATATCCAGTGAGTTATTGGAAAAATTATGGTGTCTGAAATTGCAGTCCTACATAACCTCTTCATGGCCCTCCTTACTCAGAGACTTTCCAGAGAGATACTTAAAAGGAAGACTCATGTTTCTGATTGACGACATCCTTTGGCTCAATCATTCAGCACATATTTACTTAGCAATTCTCTGTGCATTATGCTTTAGACCTGAGCCTGACCTCAAAAGTTTAAAGTCTAGTAGACCAGACGGGCATTATACAATCAAAAATTGGGTTAAATTGCCATGAAGGACAAGATTATCCAGCACAGCCTGGTATCCAGGCCCAAAGGAACAGCTTTTTGAGAAATAAATGTGAAAATAAATCACCTGGGACTGCCAGGATCAGAATTTTCATTGACATCTTAATAACAAGATTTACATCTGCAAAACTGAACTTTCCTTTGGTATTAAAACAAACAACAAACAAACGCAGAGCGGATCTAAATCAACAAGAAGATTGGGTGGCTGTCAGTTGGCACGTTTGTCTTCAGCTCAGGTCATGATCGCAGGGTCCTGGGATGGAGCTCACATGTTGCTTTGGGCTCCCTGCTGAGCAGGGAGTCTGCTTCTTCCTTTCCTTCTGCCTCTCCTCCTACTGGTGTTCTCTCTTTCACTCTCTCTTGTGTTTACTCTCCCCCCTCTTTCAGATAAATTTTAAAAATACATAAATAAATCAACAAGTTATTTCAGAAGTGCTAAATGCCACCATGGCCCTTTAGGAATATAATAGCTCTCCAAATCATCAAATGGTCTCGGTTATGGACACTGAGTCAACCTTTTACTAGGGACTGACTCCCTTTTTTAGAACCTAAAGGGCCAAAAAAGACCCATGCCTAACAGAAGGCCCCCCCCACAAGCAAGATCAAGACTACTTACAGATTATTGTTTCAAACCTATTCCAAGAACAGTGCTCAGATTTTCAATGCCCTGAGAGCAGACTATGGAGTCAGATCTGTACTTAAGTCCTGGTTCCATAATTTATGAGCTGAATGGTTTGGAAAGCTAACCATCCTGGCCAGTTCAGGCTGCTCTAACAGAATACTGCAGAGTGGATGGTTTAAACAACAGACATGGTTCTCACAGTTCTGGAGGTGGGAAGTCCAAGCTCAAGGTGCAGGCAGATCCAGTGTCTGGTGACAGCCTTTTCCTGGGTTTGCAAATAGCATCTTTTTATTATATCCTCACAGGGTAGAGAAAGAGAGCTCTAGTTTCTTCTAAAAGGAACACTTACCTCAAAAAAAAAAAAAAAAGATCTTTAAAAAAATAAAAACACTGATCTCATCATAGAGGTTCCACCTTTATGACCTGATCTAAACCTAATTACCTCCAAAAGGTCCCACCTCCTAATGTCACCCCATGTGGGTTTAGTTTATATGTCTTTTCGGGGAACACAAGCACGCAGTCCATAACAGCTCCTTGACTCCTCTGAGCCTAGTTTTCTTCGCTCTGTAAAAGAGGAGACAGTAGTACCCCACTCGCATCTTACAGTTGGTATGAGAATTAAGTAATACATGTAGCATGCCTTTATTAAAAAAAGATTTTATTTATTTATTTGTTTATTTATTTATTTGAGAGAAAGAGAGAGAGTGAGTGAGCGGGGTGGTGGGGGGGGGAGGGTAGAAGGAGAAGGAGAGAGAGAATCAGGAGCAGATTCTAGGCCGAGCACAGAGCCTGACATGGGACTCGATCTCAGGACCCTGAGCTGAAATTGGGTTGGACACTTAACCAACTGAGCCACCCAGGCACCCCACATGCCTTTTTAAAATAAATGTTATTTTGGTCACCTGGGTGTCTCAGTTGGTTAAGAGATGGCCTTTGGCTCAGGTCATGATCCTGGAGTCCCCAGATCAAGTCCCACATCAGGCTCCCTGCTTGGCAGGGAGTCTGCTTCTCCCACTGACCTCTGACCTCATGCTCTCTCTCTCAAATAAATAAAATCTTTAAAAAAAAAAAGTTATTTCATCTGCATAGTCCAAATAGTAATCAACTCACATGTTGTCATTGCCAGTCCCTGGACTTTCCTCCAAAGAGGGATCGAGATTAACCAGAACTAGAT